GTGTTCTCCCCCCCCCCCCCCCCCCCCCCAAGGACAGTGAACTGGTCCTTCATTTAGAAAGTACCCCAGCTCTATATATAGGTACAGGCTTAGTCACTTTATACTGAGCTTGTTCTCATTTGCAGAGGACATACTGCGCCACAGAACCACTAGAAGTAGGGAAAGTATGTATGCCTGGGCTGGCTAATGCAAAGCAGAGACAATCTGTAGCATCTTACTGCAAGGTGCCAACAAGGTAAATATGTTGAGTTCTGGCAGTCAACCATATGAATAGTTTGAATTTACATACGACACAAGAAACAGACAAAGTAAATCAGAATGTAGACTTATGATGAAACTATCCCAAGGTCAAGACTGATGCAAAGCTCATCTAATTAACTGAAAAACATGCGACTTTGGCCAAAGCAACTGGAGAGCTCATTAAATTTAATGGACAATGCTAACAATTACAGAAAATTCAAACTCTATAAAATGATTAGTTGAGATGTTAAAAAACAAATGACGGGCTTCAGACATAATTAAAGTAAACCTATGTTTACACACACACACACACACACACACACACACACACACACACACACAACCTCTAGTGACTTTACTGTTCCACTTTTCTCATCACTGCTGCTGCCTCTTATAGCAGAACTCCAAGCAGAATTTTTCCTAACCCTTGCATTGGGGCTACCTATGCACAAAACTCATACTCAACCAATCCTCCAAGCTGGCTTGCTCTTAGACTGGTCCCTCAAGCTTCTCTCCTCCTCCGCTCCAGCAGTCTAAGGTCCAATAAAATATCATGTTCTATACACTGTGTATAGACGTGAGGATGCTGAGGAACATTCCAGTGCTGCAGCATAGAAAGGGTTCAGTGACCGGAGAAGCAGGCAGCCAGCTCGGTGGTTCGGGTGAGTATAACTTCTTTTTTTTTTTTTATCACCTAGGCAATACCAAGCACTTAACCCTTGCACTTAACACCTGCACTGCAAGGGTTAAAACACTTTTGCCTGGAGTTCTTTTTTTAAAGATTCTAAACAAGAACCCGCAATGACACAATATTCACCTCATGCTCAATATGGAAATTGATTACAAGTCCACTATTATGTTGGCAATCTTACAGGGCTGTTTATTCACTGGTCATGCCATGGAGAGATTTGGGATGGTGCGGCCCGTCTTCTGAAGCATTTCAGTAACTGGAAGGAACTCGCTTAACAGCTAAACAAATAATGGTCACTGGGTCATAAGAGCATTGATAGCACTGGTACATCTATTTGCTGGCTAGTACTGTGACTTGGTGGGACAGAGGGAATATCACGTGTCCTCACACCCTCAAGAATTTTCTGGGTGGCTGCAGCGGGGATCAGGAAGGGACAAGAGGATATCTTTTTGTTCAGAACATAGGTTGTATATGTAAAGTGCCAGAACATACATAATCACTAGTTGTTAGGAGTACATTTGTATATTTCCCAATATAGTGAGAGATGGAGATGTATATATTATGACCTTTATAGAGGGTGATAAAGCTGAACTCTGGGCAGACCGCTAAACACATAGCTGATGTGCGCTTTTACTTGGCAAAAGGTTTGTAAATTTGTTTAGCTTGTCTTGTGATTTACATAGCTCTCTCGGAATACATAACCAGTAGGTGATCTCACTTTCATCTACTGCAGTTAAGTAAACCAGCAGCATCACCAACCTATCACCAGACTGATGACTGGGCAGTGAAGCCATCAGAACACTAAGGCTGCATTCACGTGTGTTCTAGGACTCCGGCCACAAGAACCTATGGATTCTTGCAGCAGCAATCCCAGGTCTATCTATTTATTTTGGGATAAACGATTGTCCCTGGATGCAGAATAGATGCATCCAGGGACCATCATCCGTTCCGAAACACAGGTAATTGTACCATGTATGATTACATGTGGACTGCTGCTGACCGATGCAGCCACTGTCATGAACTGGCAAACCTGGGATTCCTGCTGCAATAAGCCGTCTAGTCTTGCCACAGTAATCCCAGAATGCACATACAAGCCTGTGTGAGTGCAGTCTTAGGAGGACACCACTCTTAAAGCAAATGTCTGGTGATGGCAATGTGCAGTGCAATGCAATAGAACATGGCTCTCCCTGTTGGTGCTGCCTCCTATGGCCTGGTCCTTGCTGGCAGGGGATTACATGTGTCCAATATACACAGACAGCCTTGGATGCTTATAACTTGCTGTATTTAGGTAAACACTGCAGGATTATTTATTGCAGGGAATGATATTTTCCAACACACAGCCCATTTCCAATAAATCCATGGAAGATTGCTTCCAACTCTCACCTTGGTGTCTCTATTGCCTAGGATGGCAGTTCCCACGGCGCAACAGACACTCACCTGTATGATGCCCGCAGTAAAGTCTGGCCCCACATCCAACGGATAGTTTTCAATCAAATAAAAGGCAGTCGCACACATTACCAGAATGTGCTGCTGGTTGTGCAGGTTTACACAGCTGGAACAGACAAATACACCAATCAATTTCAAGTACAATATAATACAAAAGCTGTCATAAAATGGAATCACTGACTAATCAGTGATCAGGTTACCATCGTCATCCACTCTTAGTTTAAAGAGGAATACTTTTGTTGAGTGTGAACATCGGTTGACCTTCACTGAATTACCTTCACTTCATATCACTGGAGACAAAAACATCTTTCCATAATGAAGGAAAGTCTCCACCTAGTTGACCCTGGAACAGGTCTTCCCCTTGCCTCCTGTTCCAGTGACCATCAGTTTATGCTCCGATGACGATGGCCACCAGGACCAAAAGAGGGTGAATCTCCCCAGCGCCGGCATGGACGGGGGGGG